TACTTGCTGATTCGCACTTTATCACCCACTTTGAATTTAATTTTCAGCTTTCGAATCGCTCCTGATTTTCCATAAATGTTTCTCAACAATAATTTCTCCATTTTTGTGGTGACATCCTTCGGCTTCATTTTGATGGTGCGATGTTTTGTATCATTGTATTCTATTACTAAATCATCTACAATATCAATCCATTTATAGGTTCCACGGATTGAAAATTGCTTCCACATTTTATTTTTCAGTGTTCGATTGAAACGCTCACATATCGACGCCTTGAGATTGCTGAAGGTAGAATACATGTCGATGTCATGTTTTTTCATAAGAGTCTGGAAATCCTTGTTGTAGAATTCTTTGCCTTGATCCACATGTAGTTTCTTTGGAATTCGCCCGTCCAGCAAAATTTTGTTCATGGCAATTGTGACATCTTTACCATTTTTTGATTTAATAGCAATGGCCCACGCATACTTGGAAAAAATATCAATTACAGTGAGGAGATATCGATAGTTTTTGTTCGAGTTTGCATATTTCACCATGTCCACGAGATCGGCCTGCCACGTTTCATCCAATCCACGCATTTCAACGCGTCTTCTTGGATAATTTCTTCGTGCTGGGCGATGCAGCTCCTCCGCTATCGTTCGTTTTTGGGACTCCATTTAATTGTTTCTGTGTGTCTGCAATTTTACGCCGTCGGTTTTCCAGCAATTTCTCTATTTTTTCAAAACGTGTATTTATAGTGGACTCCAACTCTCCAATCGTCTTCTCCAATTTTTTTTTCAAATCTATCGTCAAATTGTGTTTCACCAGATCGACAGTTTTTTGCAAATTTTCTCGTAAAATTCGCAATGAAATTGCATCAGACTCCTCCAGTGGATCAGCAATGGCACATAACCTTTTACCTTCTAAACTGTAATTTCCATCGAGGGTACGTTTAAATCCATCACCTGGTGGACCTCTCCTGCTAAGAGTGGAGGCCTTACTGCTGTATAACAGGCGTCCGAACACATCGACACTCATGATGCAAGTGAGAGCATTTACGTGAGGGAACATGTTAATATATTATTTCAGCCTCTCGTAATTCTTCAATAATGGAGAGGATTTCATTTGTATGACTGAAATTGCCTGCAGCTTGAGATGCCATGAGTAAACGAAGTCTATCCACCAATTCATTCGGATTATCCCAGTAAATATAATCCATTCTCCTGGCTGTTGTCTTTGGAGCCACCATCAGGTCTGGTATTAGAGCTTCACCACTTTTTGAAGTTGATGATACTAGTGGTAAAATTATATTTGTAAATTTTTCAGTGGGGTTTTTATCTTTGATAGGTTTGGATGGATGATAATACAGTCGATGTGCATGTGTACTCCGTAAAATTTCTCCATAATTTTCTCTATCTGTTGACGTGACATGCATCATCTTTGGATCTCTGTTGAATATTAACATCAGGAGACCTGAAGTTAAATCATATGATTTTTCCTCAATCATCAATGTATCGCCACGGAAAGTAACAATTGCATTCCCAATTTTCCAGTTTTCACCACTTTGACGAACACCAAATTGTCTATCGAGTTCTTTTTCCTTTGCTGTACCGAACTTATTGAGATAAAATTGAAGGAGATTCCCAGTGTCAGACCTGTTTAGGGGAGAGGATTCATCAGCTACTTCTTCCTCAGATGTTGTAGGGAAGACGTCTTTTTTCAGAGAGAAATTATCATCGACAAATGATGGTCCTCCATGTTGAATTGATGGAACTTCATACTTCTCATCTGCTCTGCTTTTTTTCATTCTCTTGATTGTCATCAGACTCTTATAGTTATTCTGCTTTTGAACTTCTGCATGATTAACCAATTTTTCAAGAGGTGTCACTACCGGCTTCAAAGCTTCATTAATAGCACGTTCAGCCGTATCTTTACCAAGCTTTATAGCTCTATATTTATGACGAATGGCTTTACTGGCTTCAGCAATGTGCTGCAACACACTTGACTCTTGTTGCAAGTCCTGGCGCTGCATGTTGAGCGTTATACGTTTGATTTAACACTGTCTCGAATTTCACTAATCAATCACTATTTATGTACACATAGCAATCGAATCCTCTCCGATATCGTCCCTCATGCAATTCACAATCTTTATTAATAGTAATGAAACCATATTTGTCCGTGTTCCAACACGCGGAGCACAATTCCTTGAACTGGGTGTACAGCATATCAGTATTAACATGATCATGATAGATATGCTTTAAATTCATCTCATCTTGACGAAAGAGTATGAGCAAATTCGCATTATCCCGCACCAAATGTTTCGGGATTCGAGCGTAAGTTTGACAAAGATAGAAACTGTCTACATTTCGATGTCGACCCATGCAAAAAAATGCTCGAATATTATCTTGCTTTTCACATGCTACATCATCAAATATCATGATGGAGTTGGGTCTAGTCTCTTCAGGTTTGACCACTTCATCATGATCATTGAAAGGGAAATAGCCAATAACTTGTACTGATTCCAATAAATCTTTCAAGAATTGATATTTCGGTTGATTCAGAGATTTTGAGTATACGTAAACATTCTCAAATTTCAAGCCATTCGGGTGGGTAATAAGTGCAAGCAGAGCATTGGTTTTGCCACAGTTGGAAGGTCCACATATGATTGCACGAACAGTATTTGGTAAGAGTGGGCCGTGCCGATTCTTTTTCTTGTCTTTCTTTTTATCCGTAATTCTATCGAAATTAATGACAGGCAGCTTGGAACTTTGCTCCTTGAACTCCATGACGACGACTGATGGAAAAATCTTTAAATACAGTGTATTTATTCATTTCCAGTCAGTCTTTGAGAGATCATGGTGGTGAACAAACGTGCCAAAACCTCCAAGGGTGAAGGTTTTGTGAATAAACTCATCAAGTTACCCATTGAATTGCATGTATCTGGCTATCAGTACTGTGGACCCGGAACAAAGCTAGCCAAGAGATTGGCACGTGGAGATTTGGGGATAAATCCCCTGGATGCAGCGTGCAAAGAGCACGATATAACTTATTCAAAGAATCCAGAGAACTTGACAGCTAGACACGCAGCAGATAGTGTCCTTGCTGATAAAGCTTGGCAACGAGTTTTGGCCAAGGACGCTGGTTTAGGTAAAAAAGCAGTGGCTTGGAATGTTGCAAACGTCATGAATATGAAGAGAAAAATCGGCATGGGTGTTAATCGTAAACTGAATGTGAAGAAGAAAAAGAAGACTGGAAAAGGCTGTCGAAAGAAGTCCGGTGGTGGTAGTAAGAAGAAGACGTTGTTGCGTCATATTATGCAAGCTGCGAAAGGCTCCATGCACTCTGGAGTTGATCCGGTCAAGAGTGCATTGAAAGGTGCACGTGAGGCAGTAAAACATGCAGGAGGAAGGAAAAAAATAAAACCATCGTCGAGAGTTCTTCCCATTTCATCCAAAATTGGTGGAATTTTACCAGCATTCCTGATCCCACTGTTTGCAGGACTCAGTGCCACTGGTGCTTTAGCTGGTGGTGCTTCAGGTATAGCCAGAGCAATTGGCGCTTCGAGGCAGGCCGCTAAAGACCTTGAAGAGAGCAAAAGGCATAACCGATCGATGGAAGCCATTGCTCTGGGCAAAGGAATGTACTTGAAACCCTATAAATCGGGTTTGGGCTTGCACTTGAATCCAAAAAACTAATAAAACTACCCCCCCGAGCGCTCACCGACAGTGATCTGGTGAAATATGCAGGCATCATGGGAATACCGCATTTTCGTGGTGTCTACATGAGAAATAATATGCCTCAAAGTGGACCATGGAAGAATGAGTCAGCCATAGTTAACCTTGATGATAAAGATGGCCCAGGTACTCATTGGGTTGCCTACAAGAAGAAGGATAATGAAGTTATCTACTTTGATAGCTATGGCAATTTACGTCCACCTCAGGACCTTATACATTATTTCGGTGGCGGTAGTATTGTGAAATATAACATGAAAAATTATCAAGACTATAATACCATTATATGTGGACATTTGTGTTTGAAATTTCTCACTGGAGAATTGATATAAAGGGGCTGATCAGATCAAGACGCACATCAGTTCAGTGGCAGCTGCGATGAGTGACTCATTCACCTTGACCTTGTCTGGCAGGTCCTCTGTACTGGAGGCCTGGTATTTTCCACCTATTGAATTATCAAAGCAAAAATCCTACAGTGTAGCACTCGTACAACTCCTCACATACACTTCAATCCCCAATATTGATGAGGGACGCAATAAATTCCATTTTCAAAAAGGGGATTTGGCAATAGAGCTGACTATACCAACGGGAAGCTATGAAATCAGTGATATCGACAAGTATTTAAAGAGAGAATTATTGAGCTTTAAAATTCCCTTCAGCTTGAAAGCTGATGATCAAACACTTACAACAGTGATTGAGGTACCAAAAGATGTAACAATAAATTTCATGCCATCGAATTCTATCGGTCAATTGCTTGGTTTTTACGGAGAGGTTCTGGCACATTCTACAGTCTATCGAGCAGCCACACCACCAAATATCCTTCATGTAAATTCACTTCGTGTTGAGTGCAATCTCACTGCAGGAGCCTACATTAACGACAGGCGTGTGCATACAATTCATGAATTTTTCCCGAGCATCCCCGCCGGATATAAGATCATTGAGAATCCTGCGCAGGTCATTTACTTGCCAATCGTCGTGCAGTCAATAGATCATCTGCAATTGAAAATTTTAGACCAAGACGATCGTCAGGTGAACTTTCGTGGAGAAGTCATCACAGTGAGACTTCATATAAAAGCTAATTGAGAGGAAAAATGGGCATCGTCTTTGAGAGAAAAATTGGCAGCAGTTATAAAAGTGAAGAGTCATGCCAGAAAGTGGACAGTCGTCGAGTAGCTCGCGCGCAGCTGACATCGCAGAATATCAAGTTTCTGAGGAGTCTGGGTCTGAAAATTCACGCAAGAGTAAAAAAGTGAAGTTTTGCTGTTTCGTCCTCGCCTGTTGTTACTGCCGTCTACCATGGAAGAAGTCTTAAATATTCAAAAACGAATCATCTTTGATGAGTCCATTGCTCATTATGAAATGCACGCACATCAACCGTTTGCATCATCGTCCTTCAGCAACAATGATGAAATTCGTATTGCTGTGCAACATCAAGACCTCTGCCTGTTACCCAGCAAGAGTTCACTGCATATTTGTGGTCGATTGACGAGAGAAGACAACAATGAGGTTGTTGCTCGCACTGAGCTCGTCAACAATGCAATCTGTCATCTATTCGAGGAGATACGTTATGAATTGAATGCTGTGGAAATTGATAGATGCAAAAATGTTGGCTTGACAACACTTATGAAAAACTATATTTCACAAAGTCCCAATCAGAGTTATCTCATGGAAAATGCTGGCTGGATGATGGATCAAGGGAAAAAAATAACCGATGATCAAGGGTACTTCGATGTGTCCATTCCTTTGAGCATGATTTTCGGATTTGCTGAAGATTACCAGAGAATTATTGTGAACGCAAAGCACGAGTTGATTCTGACACGTTCACACAACGACCTCAATGCCATCATTCAACAAGCTCTTGAAGGAGGACAGCGGGCTGAAACTTTTAAAATTACCATGACGAAGATGGACTGGATGATTCCCTATATTAAACCTGCGGACTCTCGAAAAGTGCAACTTCTTAATCAGATTTCAAAAGACAATCTTATACCAATTAGTTTTCGAGCTTGGGAGTTATATGAATATCCTTTATTACCCAGAACATCGAAACATGTCTGGGTTGTGAAGTGTTCTACACAACTGGAGAAACCACGCTATGTCATTGTCGGTTTCCAAACAGCCAGAAAGAACGAAGCCACAAAGAATGCCAGTGTATTTGATCATTGCAATATTCGAGAGATCAAATTATTCTTAAATTCACAAAGCTATCCCTATGGAAATCTGAATCTAGACATTGCACACAACTAATCAGCTCTACTTTATGACATGTACACCAACTTCCAAACGTCTTTTTATCACAAGGAGCCCGAGCCGCTATTCGACAGTAAAAAATTCTTGGAAACTGCACCACTCATCGTCATCGATTGCTCCAAACAGGACGAGTTCTTGAAATCTGGACCGGTTGATATTCGCCTGGAGTTTGAGTCATCAGAAACCTTCCCCAACAACACAGCAGCCTACTGTTTGATTTTACACGACCGAATTGTCGAGTACAGTCTACTCAGCGGCAATGTGAAGAAACTCATATAATTTAATCAAGATTTTTTCAAACATATCAATGTAATCTTTCATGAGATTTTTTTTTTAAAGGAATCAATATAATCTTCATAAATAAACGACAATTATTGAAGACTGAATTTTTTATTTATCATCACCAGTATTATTATTATTAGGACATTTTGGGTTCAAAGTATTGAACATTATATTCACTCCGAGTTTTAATTCATTGAGGATGCCCAGCATTGGTGTAGCTGGAGTGTCCTCCGTGAGATCTGGTCCTCTCTTCCTCTTCAATCCGCTGCTGGTTGATGGCTCGCACCAGGAGCTAGCCCATCGGTCTCCAACAAAATCGTCGCTCACTCGTTGAATTAAAATCTTCAATGCAATTCAGAATAACTTCCAGCTTCTTCGAAATAACAGCAGACATCGGCAGTGAAGAATCAGCAGAACTTTCTTCTTCATTCCTCTTCCTCAAANTTCCCTCAAATCGATGTAATTTCTCTCCAAGAGAAGAATGTCATCAATTAAGGACCAAACACGC